GAAGAACAGCATGATAAGGAGGACGCAGAGAGAGCGTATATAACCCTAATATAGATAATCTTTTAAATTCAATTGTAAAGAACAAATAAGGAAATGAATGATATGAAGAAAAAAGGAGAACACACACGGATTTAATAATGAAAAATATAATTTATAAATTTATTCAGTGTACATTTGTGTGTATGTGTTTTGCTTCATTCAGTATATAGGTTTTATTAATTAAGTAGTCGATATAGATATTCGAGTGAAAGATATCTTATATTTTGGTATGGATTATAATATATACAAATTTTACAGGAATTGAGGACAGTAAAATATTATTTATTCTATATAATTATTACAATAATGATATTGCTCAAAGAAATGTTCAAACAAAAATATTGCTTGCACCATGCACAACGTATAAAAGCCATTTTACCACAAATGCTACATTTTGGTATACGTTTTTCTTCTTTAAAATAACAATAATCGATTGGATTATGAAATTTTTCAGGCCGTGTTGATAAATAACCACTTTTATACCAGCTATATCTAAATAAATTTCGAAATCTTGGAGAAGACAGTTGATTGTGTGTTAAAGATTGTAATTTTATTATGTTATTACGTAAATGTAAATTTATGTCATAATTATTTATAATAACACTATCAGAAAAGCTTCGAACAAAATTTTTCCAGATTCTGAAACCAAAAACATCTAATGGCTGTATAAAAGCAGTTGTTTTTTTTGGTATTGTTAGAATATTTACATGTTTATCTTTTGGTACAAGTTCTTCCAATTGGTTCGGGTAATGTCTTGTCCATGAATCAAGCAGTAGTATACTTTTCTCTCCAGTGTTTGGTAGATACACTTCTTGGAACCAATTTTTGAAATGTTCAGTTGTCAATTTCCCTGATTTTGAAGCCGCAATGTAAATATTCACTGGTCTAAAAAGAGTTTGTTCTACTTGTGGTCCAAAAACACCAGTAGATTCTTTTAATACTATATACAAAGGCGAAAGGAGATGTCCATCTGCAGATATAATAGGCATAATGGTGTAGCTATGAGTCATAGCAGATAAAGATTGGATAGTAGCTCCAACTGTCTTCACTCCTACATTAGCTAATGTTCTTCCTGCATGTATTTCTAAATTAAAGCCACTTTCGTCCGCATTATAAGTTGATTCAGCACCGATTACATTAATATGTGGCTTTACTGTATTTACAAATTCCTCAGCGTTTTGACGTATAGTTAGATCAGTTAAATGAGAAGACCGCGTTTTAAATGCAGTTATTTTACGTGATGTAATACGATGTGCCTTTTTAAAATTCCATGTCCACCAATTTCCTGCTTTAAATGAAGAAAAATCCACTTGTTCCTTTGCTTCTAGTGCCCATTTTCGCAGATTTATATCATGAATAATAAGTCCTCTATTAACAGCTTCTTGGAATTTTATAAGAACATATTCAGCAATAACTACAAGTTTGTCTGTATTTGAACCCCCACGCATTACATGTTCTTGCCATCTGTGCAATTGTTGAATAGATTTTACCTAGAAGAAAACAAATCTCAATATTAAACAATTCGAATTCAAAAATAAAAGAAGTTATATACGAATTAAATGTTCACGAAACATCAAATTGTAAAACTTAAAATAAAAAACAACACGACTCTAACTATATAATTTACAGCTTTGGTCATAAGTATAAAGCATCTCTAACTCATTGTATTTTCCTAGAAATCAATGCATATACTCATAGTAAATATATAATCTCTTTACAATAAATATTATATTAATATTTTATAATATAATGTGTATATTATATTTATGTATATTATATTTATATTATAATTTATATTATATTAATATTATATTATATTACAATAAATATTGTAAAATAAATATTATTTTCCACATATTCTTATATTATATTTTTTTATTATATTATTTTTCCATATACTCGTATACTATATTATGTTCTCCATATATTCATATAGTATGTTTTTGTTACACAATTTAAATAAATTTTTTGGGATGCTTTATACTTATAGTCAAAGCTGTATGTACAATGACCGACAATGATGCGTTCCGCGAGAGGGGAAATAGAGTTCTCTCTGTGCGGAACGAATCACTGCCGGTCACTGTACACCGTAAAAGCCTCAAGTATTTTACTATATATTATTCTTCTTATTTTTTAATTAAACTTTACTTTTCTAAAACGATGTTGTACAGAAGTAAGAGATAAATGTCCTTTCTTTCCACTCTTCCAAAATTCGATTGCCTTTTTCTTATAATTTAAGTTTACATTTCCACCTTCATCATCCACAGTGCAAACTTCATTTCCATAATTATCTTCTTCAGCATCAATATCGTACACATCTACAAATTGTACGTCATGCGGTTCTGATGGATCGTCAAAATCAAGTCCCCACTCATGTTCGATCGTAATATCGTGATGTATAGCACTCTTTATTAAATCAGTAATTGTAACATGGAGTTCCACCTCTTGATGATTAACAGGAGTTATTGCAATATTTGTGAAATGAAATGTCGCAATTAACAAATTAATAACATTAGCTGGATTTATTACTGACATTATGATACAAATCTTAAGGATATTTTAATTAAACATTTCTCACAGCAATATTAATATACGTGCTGCTTCAATAACTGCTTCAATAACACTGAAATGTATTCCAAAATGGACAGCTTTTATATGCAAATGAATGAAGATAACATGTCAATATAATGAACCTTGATTGCACTGTACTTGATAAAGAGTGCTATTTTGGTCGCACAGTCATAAAACTTGTGACAAGTGTTTTGCATGTTGCCATGATGTACACACACGTGCGCACGTACAAAAACACACATACACACACACACATATTTATTTATATTTACGCGTGTCGTTTAAATTAATGAAAAAGGTAGCCGCAATGTTGGCAAAATAAACGTCTATTACGTGAAATTTTATAATTTATAACATTTTTAAATATTAGTGACTGTATCCTTATCATGCTATTTTTCTCCTACTTACTTCTTAACATCAACTTTATTGCTTTTTTAGATTTTCTATTTTCTTCCTTCCTTATCTTTTACAGTTTGCAATTATGAGGAAGATTTGAGGAAGAAAGAAATGCCATCGTCAAGTAGCGAATCCTTAAGTTTGGTACGCGTAGCATACATATAAGAGCATGTTTAATTTTTTTTTCAATATTGCCTTTTCCAAACATAATGTTATTATATATGGTTGAATTTGTCATAAAATAAACTTTATTTTGGTTGGACAATTGATTTTAACAATTTGAAAAAAGAGGAGGGGGGTATTTTATACACAATTTTACATCTTAAAAAAATCTAAATATAGCATAATAAAGTACTTTTAAAACCATAAAACTTTTGTCTAAAACATTTTTTCATATCTTTAATAGTTTCGATAATATTCGCTTAGAAAGACAAAAATCAACTTTGTTCAAGGGGTTGTTTCCACCCTTAAAACCGTTTTTGGGCACCAACGAAAAATTGTTTTGTTATTAGGTATATCTGCTCTACAATTATGCAAAGTTTCAGATTTTTTTGAATTTCCGCGTTGCCGAATGTCCCTTGTTAGTAAACACTAATTAACAGCAACATAACATCAATGTTAAAACTTTTCACTTAACAATATAGTTGTTAAGCTAGCATCAGACGATGCATCATTTCATGTATTTTGACACGCAAGCCGCGCTGTAATTCATAATTAGTTTATTATATATAAATGTTCATCGTAACAATATTTTCATCGACAATTTATTTATTTTTTTTTCAGTTACAATGGTCAGTTACAATATATATTCAATGTAGTAATGATATATGTAGTGAATTGAGCATTCTTTATAACATACCAAGCAGCATGCATATGTCAGAATGCATGAAATCGTGCATCATGTGACGCTAGTTTTACATACTACATATGTTATACTGCATTTACATTGTTACATAAGATTGTTACACTGATGTAATGTCACTATTAATAATGGTCATTATTGTTAATTTATTAGTTGGTGTGACATGGATAAAGTAAAATGATGTGTTAAAATTCTTGCACTAAATTTAAAAATTCATGATTTTCTATGGTTCAAGCTACGTATATAGCTTTTGCATATAAAATGTGCAAATCTCTTCAACAGAAGAACTAGTCATACTTAACCTTTGGATATTTTTACCTGCATATTTATATATATATAGATGTTTCTTTTTTCTAAAAAATGTAATAAATATTAAAAAGAAAATTATTCGTTATATAAGATAATATTGCAAATATCAATATCGTGAAAATAGCAAAATATTATTCAACGAATTGGATACATTATTTTCTATTATGTACATGTCGAAAAATCATAATTTTCTATGTAACAAATATTAATCCATCACGTTGAAACATCACTGTTTGTTGACAATGTTTCAGGTACACGAAATGTATGGCGTGATATTCTTTAACGCCATTATTTTTAAATAATATTTATGTAGATTAAATATATTATACATATTTACATAATTGAATAAAGTGTACTTATCGTAACTTTAATCGCCAACGCAATTGCATTCTGGCATATATTTGAGACCAAATTTTGTATTAAAAATTTTAGGTATCGGCGATCGTACATGTGTGTGTTCGCGCGCGCACGCACGCATGTACGCAGATACAAACGCACGCTCATGCATTATATTTACGTAGAACATTAGCGCGACCGAGATTTATTTCGTGAATCATTTCCAAATGTTATATATTAAAACTGAGCGATGATAATTTTGAATAAAATTCAACAAAATTGTGTGAATTCAACAAAATTTTACAAATTTTTCGATTATAAATGCGATTCGAAACGTGAGGTGCGAACAATAAGGGAAACGGAAAGAAATGTTGATTTTCACGCAATCAACTAATAAACTTGGATATTTATTGTATTAAGGCTACTTTAAATTGTATGTAATCATCTTCCAGAGATATGTCGAGATATGGAAGTAAAGAGATTCCCATTTGAATGAAAAGTTGGTTTATTTGATACCTTTCCTCCTTACGACAGAGTCAATAACAGTCGTTATATCTTTTATCTTTATGTTGAGAGAATTATAAAAAAGAGAGAGAAAAGAAAGAACGGCGCTCCGTTACGCTTGTAAATACGATTTATGAAAATATTTAAACAAATTGCTTGAGCAGTCTATGGTTTCCGTTAACTCCATAGTTCTGCGAATACGAACCTTAATATACGAATGTATACGTTTGGCAAGATATAAGCATCATAAATATTGCTGCGAGGTTAAAGCGTCGGCCTTTCCTCGTGCTATCGGTAACAGGGTTAACATTATTCCTGTCCGGACTTGAGACTTCCATAACTATTCTATATACACATAGCTGAAATTTAAGATATGTCACATATAATTCGGAATTATGTGTTCCATGTTTGAATCAATGACAATTGTTACACTACGGCTATTTATGACTATTACATAAAAGACATTAGAAAAAAAAGACAATTAAATAGATTTTCTTTCGTATCTTTTTTCATTAGAATGACGCTTTCCGAAAAGCTAATTATTATATCGGTATAATTTACAATTACATATAAATGTACACGCGCGTCCGTGTATATAAATTTTTATTCAATTCGCAATTGATTCGAAAATTATCAATAAATAATGTTATATGCTCGTGTAATAGAACAGATGCAGGATGTCTTTCGTATTTCTGCAATCACCTTCAAACAAATAACTTGGTGGTTTATTGCTAACGTGCAAGCACGACTGTCAACAATATAGTTGCCAAATATGCTGTATTAAAGTAACAATCAATCGATATCTGAGTGTCGTATTAAGTAACTCTTTCGCTACAAAAGCCGTATTTGCTTCAAACAAGTTGACGTTCAGATATAAGGATATCTTATACAGATAAAAGCTTTATACAGAGTGTACGAAATATGCCAGGATGGTTGGATATCTTGAAAAGTATATATTTTGAAAGAAAAAAAATGTACGACAGACAAATGTTGCAAAGTGTAAGATAATGCCATATAATGCCATGCATATGATGGTTTCTGTGATTGTCGCAGTATTTCGACCGCCGCATCTTATCAGACAGAAAATGCACTACATAATCGGTACACTTCTGTCCGAATCGAGCAATTGTTGTTACTTTAAACGTGTCGTTTAAGAATACTTTTATTCGGCAGGACATGTAGATATTGTAAGAGTATCGAGAGATATTTTCAAGTACGCACTAAGAACGTGCACAGTTAAATTTCATCGAATCAGCTACTTTCGTGTTAGATATTCGCTTGGACGATCAAAAAAAGTTTAAATATCTAAATAATAAATTACTCATAATAGTAATCATAACGTGTGTATATATATACGGCGCGAGTTACGTTAAGGACGCTCGTTAAGGATGTCTCTTATAGGAGACAGAGAAATGGGATAAAATTCATTCAATCATTCCCTAAATCCGATCCTGAATTCAAAGTCATATCCTGGAGAATTTTGACATATCTGAAGTATATTATAATCAACACTTGAATCAACGAAGCGATACGTAGCGATAGTCTTAATTTATCCGCGTCGTTATAACCGTGTTGTACAAGTGTCGTTACAATTCCGTGAGAGTGTCTACCGACGCCCGCAAACGAGATCTGGCAATGCCGTCGTCGTATCCCTTACTAGACCCAGCACCATCGATCCGAGAGACGATCTCTTCTCTCAAGCTCGTAAGTACTCTACGATCTTGTTTGTTGTGAGCTGGTGTGTTTCGTAGAGCTTCCTGAACATCCGACAGTGCGTCGTCGAGCAGGCCCAAGTCCACGCGCGCTTTAGCTCTGGCATAGAATGCCTCGTAAGACACCGATCGAACGTTGAGGGCTTCGTCAGCGAGTTCGATCGCCTCGGTGCATTCCTGTCCAAGAATCGCGTTATACCGTGAGTAACAAGCAGACGTACAAACGAACAAGATTTAACAGGTAAGGAAGGACGGGATTACTAACGTTCATTTTCCGTTTGCATCGGCTAAGATTCAGAAAGAAGTTCAAACGAAGCTGCGTGAAAGTTTGAAGCTGCAACATCATGTGACTCTGCTCCTGTCCTTGACAATCCTCCTCTGGCGAAATTGGGAATTTCTTGAGAGCGTACGCGTATCTATGTGACGCTTCCTTCAATCGGTTCTTCCGATACAATACATTGCCATCCTCCAAGAGTTTATTCAGCAAAATTATCAAAACATCCGGTTTCCCAGCCGCCATGGCCCATGTGGCGGGACCCAGTTTAGCGCCACGGCGCAAGAAGCATTGCACCACCGGTATATTGCGACAACCAATAGCTCGATCCAGAGGCCGCATACCATGGAGATCAACATGCTCCACTGCGGCGCCCTTCTCGAGTAAAAGCTGTACCAGCTTTGGATTACCCTGTGTACGTTCCCGGATATCACACACAGACATTAAATTCCAAAGATATTAAATCATCAATCTCAATCTTAATTCGTCGTAAATTGTGGAGTGAGAAAGAGAGTCAAAGTCTACCTGGAATGCGGCCAAATCCAAAGGAGTTCTACCGGTGTTGTCGTTGGTACTGACATCGGCGCCACGGTCCAGCAAAATTTGCACGGCGGCTATACGTCCTCTGACACAAGCCCAACAGAGAGCGGTGAGTCCATCCTTGTCCCTCGTTTCCAAGATCGATCCCTTATCGAGGAGTAACTCGATCAGATTGGTATGACCTTCCGAGGCGGCGAACATCAACGCGGTACGGCCAGCGAGGTCGCGTTGTTCCAAAAGCGATGAAGCATCGTCCGACACTATGTCTTTGCTGACGGACAAAACTCCTGCGAAACATGAAGGATTAATTAATGACGCCGATCGTCAAGCAAGTCTTGACGATCTCGAACGATGTCCGAAGAGGAAGGAAGAGACACGCGAACCTTGCAAGAGCCGTTCGGCGGTGCCCCAGTGTCCTTCCCTAGCGGCAAGCATCAATGGGGAAAGGCCTTTCGCGTTGACAACTGTCGGATTAGCACCGCGGGCTGAGAGGGCAGAGACTGTCGCGGTTGAGCCGTTCGCAGCAGCGATTGTCAAAGCGGTCTCGCCTATCAACGTATCAGGACGATCCACGATAACCTCGGCCATATCCAGAAGATATTCTACAACGGCTTCGTGGCCCTGTGACGCAGCTGCAACGACAGCCTGTTGAGCGGCTTCCTCTCTGCCTGTTTCCACAGGACGACCTTCCGCGCCCTTGTGCCCTTGTGCTTCGCTGGCAGGCACCACCCAGTCACAGGCGAGCAGGTATCCGACTACGGACAACCTTCCGTGTCTGGCTGCATGCACCAACGGACACTGGCCGGCCATGTCCGCGTGTCCCAATGACGCTCCAGCGGCAGCCAGTCTGCGAAGTATGTAACAATGTGCCTGTGTCCTTCTATGCGCGAAGCGAGTTTCCTTCTATTCAGTTGAAATAAGTATAACGATATATAAACCTTCGGACGACGTCACAGTGACCGCGGGCAGCCGCAAGTGAAAGCGCAGTACAACCCTGGCTGTTGGTCAGTTCGACATCGGCGCCGAACTCGAGGAGAAGTGACACCATCTCGACGGAACCTTCATGCGCGTACATGCATAAAGCCGGTGCACTGCCCAGATACTCGGTGATGTGGTTCGGAGATGCACCCGCCAGCAGGAGCAATCGCGATACCTTTACGTTTGGACTATAGATGTTCCGAAGCATACACAGCGCCGAGGAGACGCACTCGCTCGACGAAGTTAGCCAGATTGCCTGTAAACAACCGGATATGATTACGCTCCTCTTAACATCGCGTCATTGATATAGCGTAATAATACCGCTGTCGCGTTCGCTATCTGTCGCGTTAGAATACTTACTTGCAAATCGCGCGATGGCAAGCATGGAGCTACGCCTCTGTAAACATGCGCCTTCAGCACGTGATGACCTAGTTCCAAGGTCTTGTCGCCGTCCAACGGCGTTTGAAGGCGGGACAGTCTAAATGCTATCGCCGCGTGCCCGAGTCTATAGTCGCACAGGAACTTTGTCGATTCCCCCTCATCCCTCCTCATCAGCCATTCTCTGAACGATGGATGGAAAAACATGTACGTGTCGTCCAAGCGTTTCACAAGGAAGCCGGAGAGCATCTGATAAGAGGAGAGTGCCGTCTCGTTAAACGTACTCGCGGATACTCGATAGTTGCGATAGCTGACACGGTGTTTGCGCGGCATAGTCGAGAGCTGTAAGCGTGCTCGCATCGGAAAAAGTGATTGTAGACGTATATACACAATGGAATACTGATTCACTGACAAATTCCGTGGTATTTTTATTATTATAGAATTACTGCGACTTACGTTGTTTTCACATAGTTGCGTCGGCGGATGAAGAAAAATTATACAATGTTATTTATTAGAAAGCGACACTTGTGTAAAAATTGTGATAATATATCCGCATAAGTATTCCGCTTCAAGATCACCCATCAAGATTACTCGATATACTTACTTTGAATCTCTGCAAAAAATCTCCCCACGAAATAAAATGATTCGTATGCAGAGAATTTACGGAGTAGAAAATTTCAGATAGGGTCAGTGGATACAAAGCCGCCAGGCAGACAGCCAGAAGCGGTTGTACCCTGTCGAACGAAGCTGCCGTGGGGAATCTCAAATTGAAATGCAACTGAAAGATTTGCGCGAGAGAGACCGGTAGGACCTGAAAGACCAAATAATGTTTGTTAATAAAACGTCGTTCAATTTCGTCTTGTTTAAATTACAAAGCGGATTACTCCGTAGTCGTTTATGATTAAGATTTAAGATTTGCAAAACGAGATGTACTGTGTCTAATTCCAGTTATATTTACAGCATACACAGCGTTCCTTCCTCATGAAAGTTTGAAAAGTTTACATCTTTCAAACCTCTCCTACATGTTTTGTACTTGTGTATGCATACCTTGTAACTCGCGGATTTAGCGACTAAATGGCCGCTTTCGATGAGGTCGAGGGTCAGCTTAGCGAAGAGAAAGCTTCCTTTGGCCAACGCGAGCAAATGCGAAGCGAATCTCATCTGACTCGCACTGCACGACAATTCCGCCTTGCCGTTTACCGATGCGGTTACGTTCGCCTGTATAGAGGGACTCTGCACGAGCCTATAGTTGATATAATCGGACAAGTCCCTTGCGATGCCGTTACCAACAACATCGTTCGTAGTCTTGTCTAACGAGATCCTTGTGTATGGTAGCTGCTTTGTACAGTCCAACAGTTGCGTCCTGACTGTACAGACGATCTTTAGCCAACTAGGAATGTTAGGTGCGTGTCTGGTCAGGAAAGAAGCTATAGTATCGCCTCTGTCCGGCCGATGATATTCGGCCTCGCAAACAGCGTCGACCAATATTACCTGAAGAAAAAGAAAAGAAACAGGATGAAAGCACGGATGAGCGGTATTTCACTGTGAACGAGAAAAGGATTTATTCTACTAAAGTAACGTGATTTCGTGATACTTTGCTTTACCATATTCGAGGTTGGTAATCTGTTCGCTTTCTTCAGAGTCGAGAGCGGCTCGATAATTCCCCTGGAGAGGGCGAGATCTGGATCGACGGTGCATTCCCTTTGCGACAGTGAGCCTTGAAGATGAGGCTCGGACAGGAGGTACTCTCTGTACGAGATCAATTGAGGAGCCTGGCAGAGTTGAGCCGCTAGCGAGTGAATTAAATCTGGCACTACGCAGGTACTGTTGTTATCGGCTTGGCAAAAGTGATAAGCCACGACATGCGAAGCTAATTCGCGGACCTACGGTTGGACATGATTGCGATTTCGCATTATTTCCCCGAAGATAGAAAACAACGTTAAACGGTAAAAAGAAATGTGCGCCGATATGTTGCACCTTTTCGTTTGTATGCCGAATGTTAGCCCGCAAAGTCGTACTGTTACTCTGCTTCTCCTTCTCGTCACATTCTTCGCCTACTTGCGAGGGCCTCGGCTGCTCCTTTCTTCTGCCGAAGCAACTATGTTCAACTAACTGCAGAACGAGCGCAGTCTTTCCCGTGCCGGGCGAACCGGATATCAATATACCAGGACTGGAGCCGTTGACCATGGATTCTAATTCGTGTAAAAGCCACTGTCGTCCCGCAAAGAGCGGGTCCTCTTCCAATAACGGCACTTCGAAGAACAACGGCTTCAATGTTAACTGCGTAGCGTGATGTTGGGCGAAGCGTACTGAAATTAACATCGGGACCTCGTTATACGCTCGCTGTACGCTCGAATGTAAAACATTAGGAGACACACAAGAAATTACGTCTAGTGTCTATTGGTCCTTTGAGGTTACTAGTCCTCGTTGACCTCCTCATGCAGGATCGTCTGTTCTTGAATTGGCTGAGCTCGTCTGCTTGATCTGCTTGCGCAGTATTAACGGAATGTCTTCTGGATGCGAGTGGGCTACAACTACCATTTGACAAGCCCGAGACCGACACTGACATAGACATGGACATCGACGTAGACGCAGATAACGACGTAGAAATGGAAGCCAAGCTACCGGCGCTGTCGCAGTCTCTGGATTTGACTTTTCCCTTTGCCTTGACTTTTGGCTTGATAGGACATCGCAGCGCCGCCGCGGCCTCTGCTTCGCTCGAAGTGCCTGTCAACGTAGACACCGGGCTCGTGTTCGTCGAGGCCAATGTCTGCGTCTCGAAGCTGGTCAGGCTGCTGAAGGAAGCCGCGGAACTGTCGTGTCCTTGCACCGGGACTCGCGTAGAACACGTGTCTGGTTCCGCATTTGTGTTCGAGTTCGCTCGCCCGGACCCCAGTAGTAGACCTAATCTCATATATAGGTCCGACTGTGACGACTTCCTGGCCTTTGAAGGAAGCGGCTTTACGCAACCGCCCTCGTCATCTGTGTGGGAGCAGAGATTGAAAATAAGTCGGAAAACGTGCAGCGTATATAAGACAAGTGAATCCAAAAGAACAAAGAGGGAGAAAGGACAAACAAACTAACTCGGCCACTAAACTAAAATCCAATCTAAGGAGAAATCCAAAAATTCAAAAAAGATGCTGTATGCTGCTTCGACAAATACTTTATGCTACATTCAAAGATTGAAAATTTAAGTAAACTAAAAAAAAGAAAATGAAAATCACACACTTCACACTTATCCTTGGTTATTTCGTCCAAATTGACCAATTTCGTCCATTCAAACGTCATTGGTCTAAATATTTCGATGCGACGATGCGACATACGCCACGACATATGTGGCAATCGAAATGTACTACTCTACACTCAGGCGTTTGAACATGCGATTATGGATCAAGCGACACGGTAGTGCCACGACATCAAGTATATGAAAAACTGACAGATTGACAGACTGATGATGAATAGAATGTGATTACGTTTGTGATGATAAATTTCACGGTACCACCTTAACCGACTTATTCCGAGTTTTCACGTTAGTCAAACTTTAGCTTAAGGTGCTTCACAAATTGAAGGCGTAACATGAAAAAATAACAACATTTTCATCATGTAATATCGATGTAAATTTGATTGAGACTGAGACGATTTATATTAAAATTGTGGTGCAGAGTCAAAGGTCTTTTAGATGTTATCCATCGAAATCGTTGAAAGAAAAAGTTGATTCTCCAGTTTTTTCCAGTTCTCACACACATATATACACGCACATACTCAAAGCGCCTTTGTCTCTCAGGTCGCACTCGCAGCATTCATACATGTGCATATTTGAATGCATGTAATGTGAACGAATCGTTCAGTGGGTTTTCGCAACTGCTGTTTGAATCAAATGTATATTTGAATGTGTGCGATGCAGGTGTGCATAATATTGTTTGTAAGAGTTACTGAAAGGATTTTGCATATACGAAAAATTAGGACTGACTAAGTAGAATAAATTTAAGAGATATATGTGTACACACACACGCGCGCGTGCATGGAATATATCAGTCAGCATCGTTAAACTTAATGAAAAGAAAATAAAGTTATACATTGATTTTAGCACAAGTGGTGACATAGGTGGCAGTCGTAATGATGGACAATCGATGGGCAGAATATAGGTGTATGTTTGTCATGCTCTAAAATACTCTAAGATGCTACGAGAAATGTTATCGAAAGGAAAGGTATTCTCTCGCATGAGTGAATGCAGCGAGTCGAAAGGTTTAAACCTTAAAGGTTATATCTTATTTAAGACTCCCTTGCATTCATTCGTAAATATATAAAATCAAGCGTTTCATACATCTCGTAATAGCTCATAAATCTCGTAATACACATTAAATTCTAAGGAGTCTCCCTGCCTGTAACTTTACTCGACGAGCCGATAAGCTGATTCAGCCCGTCGTTAGCTGTGCCTTGACTGCTGTTCCACAGGGACTTGATTTTCCCTAAGACAACGCCAGGCCATCTCGCTTTTCCCTCCCACGAAGTAGTCATCCAAACTGTATGTCCAAAACTGTGTGTAGCTGGTTTTGGCGTTATAAAAATATTTCACGCGACTCGAGCCGAGGACATAATTTTTTAGCGGAGTCAAGCGTGATTTTATAAGTTAATTTAAAAAGAAAAATATGGAAGCGTCGGCATTCAATAAAAACAATTTGTACCTGATAATGCGGAAGGATTCATATCATTTGTAATTGGTTCGGGCGAGGTCGTACGTCTTGAAGATCTCTGTGGAGCGAAGGAACTTTTCAGCACTTTTGCATTGAGAAAGAATCTTTTCCGTTGATTCGGTGGTGTAGGGCAACCTGCGCAGCATTGATTTTTTACGTTATTTACAACAAATATTTTCTTCAAAATAATAAAATAGACATGCTTTGAAGCAATCGACACACACAAGCATGTATTTTAATGATATAGTGAGCAAGCGGCAACGAAAAATGGGTTAAGAATTAGTTACACCCTTCGACATACTTTGTGTCATTTGAAGTTTCTGCCGAGCTTGAAAGATGGAAGAATCTAAAAATGTTGGTTGTTTGTATTTCGTGCTCTTAGCCATTGCCGTCGATGAAAGATTTTCTTCCCCGTCCAATTGCTGAAAATAAAATAGCAAATAAGAGATAAATGATTATTTATTCAAACAAACTCAAAAATAATGGCTGAAAATTTGCTTACTTTTTTCTACCTTCGCCTTCCCGCTCTTTTTCTACCACACATACACACACACGCTCTCTCTCTCTCTCTCTCTCTCTCTCTCTCTCTCTCTCTCTAGAGATGAGAGAGAGAGAGAGAGAGAGAGAGAGAATCATCGAATAATAATGATATATTTAGTTCCAATAATTTGTATACCTTTTTTCGATGCTGTTTGGAACGCAGCTATCCAATGAGAGAATTCAACTTTTGAAAATTAATCAAGAATAATAAATCCTCTCATTGGATTGTCGACTGCATTCCAAATTGCATTCAAAGGAAAAGTGTTGAATCCGTTTTGAAACCAAATACATACTCAGCTTCAGAACAGTTTAGACACAATTTTCCAGTAAAGTTAGGAATACATCTAATGGTCATAGTTGCAAACTATTACTTATGCGGTTGAGGAAAAAGTTTATATTTTTAAATGATTGTCAACGTTTAAAAAACATTCAATGTCAGATTGACGCGTTTCAAAGAAAAAAAAGTAACATCATATCTTGTCGTAACAATAACAAGCTTTGGCAAGTGTTTAGGAGAAAAAAAATCAAAGATTCGTGTCGTGTCGTTTCCTTCCCTGACGGTTGCAATAAAATATACTTACGTGTGTAATTCGCAATGGCAGATTAGCCCTAGTGGTGACTTTAGTGCGTGGCCTGGGGCTGCCGCAGAGAGAGTTGACCGTTGATGACTCGTCAAGCCAGCCATCCGTAGGCGCAAAAATGGACAACGGAGGAGCCGTGGAAGCAGCGAACTCGTCCCCGAGAGGCTCCTCAAGTCCGTCGTCGTCGTCGTCGTCGTCGTCGTTGTTGAAATCAGTACCGCGCAGACAGAGCGGACAGGCTTCGCTGCGAAAGAGGCAGGAGTAGCAACGTTCGTGTCCGCAGGAGTCGATCAGACGACGTTTCTTGCCCTTGTCGAACGGCATCTCGCATGACGGACAAGTGGAACCGCCCAGCATCCCCGTCGACTCGACCAACGCTCGTATCTGCGCCAGATCTACGTCAAGAAAACATCAGTCGTTATATTTTCATCTTCCGATTTATAATTTATGAAAAGAAAGCGCGCAGCCCGTTTCTTCCTCGTCCGTTTTTAATTTTATAAGTCTGAGAAATGTGTGTGCATTTGTAAATGTGAGAATCAACAGACGAAACGCAAATTTAGTCGACAGCTTCCGTGAGTACGAATCGCGAGAGACAGTGTGCTACTTTAGGAGATCCGGTGAACTCGTTTGACGGTAAACCCATCTGTTATTCGTGAACAACTCGCTCGCAGACCACTCGGGGTATCTCGGTTAGCGGAGAGACACGACGTCGCGTGCTCGCCCAAGCACGGCAAAGCGGCGCTCGTTCATCGATAATGCGCGAATAAGTTGAATGAAACTCGCGAATCGAAGGCGCCATGTAGCGTCTCTCGAAGCGTTCTAGAAAGTGAGGTCAATACGCGAGACTTCCCGCGCTCTTCTCGCGATCCTTCCTGCATATATCGGTATATATGTATGTGTCCGTGTCGTTTGTGCAATACGCGAGCTACGTGCTCTTCCTTCATCTCGCTCTCTTCATATCGTCCTCTCCTCGCTTACGCTTGTCTCGTCTTCGGTCAACGATTCGGTGACATTGCGTCAATCCGACGTGAACTCGGCGATACTTTCGGCGGGAAATGGCCGGAGATTTAAACAAATCTTCGATTTCCAACAAATCTTATGGCTTTCGATCTGCTCGATCACGATGATGCAAGTCTGTATAATACGTAGTGACGCATCGAACTATAATTGTGATCTTAGAAATATAAATGGGGAACGATCCATTTCTCTCTCTCTCTCTATCTCTCTCTCTCTCTCTCTCTCTCTCTCTTTCTCTCTCTCTCTCTCTCTCTCTCTCTCTCTCTGTTGTCCTTCCGTTGCGATGACGTCCAACAGTCGGAAAAATCGATGAACGAGATTAGGAAGACCATCACAGAGGTGTTTTTCAAATTAGCAGGCGTACGTGTGGTGATAGCCAATTTGAAACATGGGACCTTCGCGTCCTCATTGAATTGTATTATTAAGGAACGTTAATTGAAAATGAGAATGACTTGGATGTGTGCGCGTACCCAGGCATATGTATGATATAAGCATTGAATAGCTCGCTAGATATAAATAGAACAAGAAGTCTTTATAAAATACGTATTCATCCATTTTAGGTTAGCGTTTTCAACCTTTTTACGAAAAAGACTTGTCCTACCAGACGCGTGATGTACCGCGATATACTTATTTTTATTAGAGTTATTTTTTAACAATAGTGCTTTTCAAACGACGTTATGCCAGTTCGATCTATTATCTTTGAAATTACGAACGTTTCTTCAGCGTGTCTGCATTGGTTTGCATCGATACGTGGTGTAATTGAATATCTAGGCATCTAGCATGATCGTCTTCGATCCATCAATTCGCGAAGAATCGAAGGAGATGGGGAAGGAGATAGGGATAGAGGGTACATGCCGATATCTATTTAGACACAAAAGGCAGACAACGGATAACGATGAGACTAATTGTCCGATATTTCCAAGTCCGCGTCAGTATCTCTGTGAATGCAAAGTGGAATAGTCTCGTGAAGAAATCGCGGAGCAACGTTAGATACCAAAATATATGCACGTATCAATAACAAAACATTCTTCTTCGGTTCGCTCGGCGCCCTTCCCAATGACATAACGCATTAGTGCAGTGTATTGTGTATTCAACAGCATAGTTGAAGGAAGAGAATAAGGATAGAGAGGGTGAGGGGCGATTTGAGAATTAAGCTACGCTCAGATAGTACGCGATGACCAAAGAGGGAAGAAACCAAAAAGGTGAAGAAAAGAAGGAAGACATACGACATCGTGCATTGATAATTCTGCGTGAGGCAGGTGCAACTCCGCGGCCTGGGTTACCGTAAGTTAGGTCAACGCACTCGGTGTGGCGCGACGTACAGACCTCGCTTACATCGTAAACTCGCATATCGGTGTCGTTTTCTTCGCATGTATTTTACTTGACTCACGTTAGACAAGTTGCCTTACTGCCTTACGTCGATCGGTCCTATTGACACAGTCGAATAAAATCGTCTGTCGATAGGCGATCTCGTGAATTGGCTGGTGTTTCGCGAGGCAACCGTCATACCGTGTTTTACTGGACTTGTGGGACGCTGACGCGCGCGCGCGCACACACGTATACACAGAAGTAGGCTGAGTCAGAGAGACTTGAATAGCGGTAAATAGATTGACCAATTATTATTGCAACGTAATGAGGAAGGGACTGCGATTCGTCAATTTACTCACTGCTTAAATTTTATTGCTTACATTTTCTTTTTCTCTTTTATGTGCCATTCACGTTGTAGATGTATATCATTCATAAATATGATAGTGACGCTTAATCGCGACGAGGCGATAACTCCTTCAGTCAACCACCGATGTCCGAATTGCTTGAGTTAGAAATTAAATTGCTTGGATTAAAAAACGACTTTTCGTGCTGCAAGCACTTTATATGAAT